ATCTAATGTTTTATCAATCCACAAAATACTTAACATCTGAACATCAATTCCAGCAGTAAAAACATTCAAAATATTCTTAAAATAACATTATACATGCATACAGCGTTAGCTATTCAGTTAGCTAACGAGAAATAACATCATGATCGTACTAGAATGAAAGCTCCGAAACGATCTTTCTGGTTTCTAGCTGAAGAGCTGGCTTTTTTGTATATGAACTTATTTTAGAATATCCTCTACAAACTGGAAACGTTAGACGAAAATCTAAATGGGGGAGTGCTCCACCTTAAAGATGAAAGAAATACTTTTTTCGCTGGAAAAATGAATTTGATTATATGTTTTTGTTCTACTCTTCGCATTACAAGTTCAGGAAAAATCTTTTATTCACGGGACAGCATGGCTTAGTGGTTATGTTGTTCGTCACGTACTGCAAACATACTGTATTCGAACCTCGGCGTCGCCACGTCACGTAATAACCTTGGACAAGTTACTTACTTACATATACAAGTTAGTGTCTCGGATCGCTCTCACCGACAGCATATTCACTACATTGTGACGTACACTACAGCTTCTCTGGCTGGTTCGCGTAGCTTCCGAAAAGCTAGTTGATTGGTGAGTGCGTTCAAGTAATTGGGCAAAAAAAGCTTTGCGTCAGGCCAGCCTTCTGTCCAGAGCTGTGGTTGATGCCTAGTAACGAGATGGGTGACTATATCAGAAGCCTGTCAGCTGCAGGGAAGATATTAAGCTATTGAAACTACGATTCGGCAGTACCTTATACTGGAAACGCTGGCGGCAAGGGCGGAGTATTCCTTCTTTTATACAAGCAATATTGTCTAATCTTCAGAAGTGTTTCTCGGGGAAACTATTTTGTATATGCTGAGCTGGATTTACACTTTTATTTTGAAAAATCCTATGTAGTTAGTTCATAAAGCTAGACTCTAATCCTTTAGATTTTGATGCATCCACTTTCTATTGATGTAGTTACTTTTATGCAATAACGTCACAATTATTACAATGATGATTTTTCTTAAGAAATATTACTTAAAAACTGAAGACATAAGTCTTTTACTATATCTTGATCATCATGCAGCCATTTGGATATCGATCGTAAGATTGTACTGTTAGCGAAATGTAAATAAATAATCCTTTAAAATAAATAACAAAGATGCAAACCATGCACACAGAACACGATAACTATCTCATTTTGTACGCTGTTTATCAAACTTTTATTATATAAAATCATTGCATAACGGATAATCTTTATCAAAGAAATGTATAATGATAGAAAATAAAACGTTGGACAAATACCACTAGGTCGCATTCATCAAACTTAATTTTTAAAAAAAAATTTCCAGAAAAAACTGTTTGAATGTATAATATATACTTTTAATTAAAATAATCATAATCTTAGTTATAGTTTATTTGTCGAAGATTTGGGTGTGATAAATTTTCTATTCTTATCATCATCTGGTAGTTGAATGTGTTTTCTATTTCTTTTCCTATCAAAATAGACTACCGTATCGACGGGTTCATCAATATCATCTGTTGTAGGTGAGATGACCGATATTGGTGATGGTAATGGTTGAAAATTTAATTGCTTTAATGTTCGTCGATCACTTATTGCTTTTCCCGTTAAACTTCGATACAAATCTTGTACATAACTTGTCACTGGATACAATGAATCATGTACATGTAGAATTGGTGCATGATGTTGTTCAAACACATTGTTTAATTGATGAGTATGAGTTAAAAACCGATGATCTAATGCTGAAATATATGATTCTTTATAGGATAAATACTGATTCTTTAATAGTTCTGTGTCTTCCTCAACACTAGGAGGATATAAACATTTTATACAACATTGACAACATAGACGATCTGTTAGTTTTTCTAAACGTTTATCCCAGATATTCAGTGAACTAAAATAAACATTATAGGAACGAAATGGATTGAAAAATGATATTATCATGCATACTGCATAGATTCTGGTAAAAATGTCCACGTTTGTAAAATTATTGGAAGTTTCTTTGATTTTGATTTTTGCATATGATTGATAATAATGACAGTAATAAATAGTAGAAGAATAATAAATATGAAAACAACAGCAGCAATCCAATGTATTAATGCTAGTGCCAATAGCAACAATGGAAACAATAAAAATATTAGAAGAACATAAAAAATAGCAAACCAACGATGTTTAGCTACTGTTTTTCCAATAATTCTTGATGCTGTTAATGGAATACGTCTTAGATATGGTATACAATACCAGAGTAACATGCCGGAAAAATTAAATAAAAAATGACATAGAGCAATTTGAACAGATTGACGAAAAAATTTTCCAGCTTGTGTTAATGAAGCTAATAAAGCGGTTACTAAAATAAATTGAATAGAATGATATAGTTTGAACAAGAAAAGAATATTAAAATTTACCTGTTGTACCAATGTTAGCTCCAATAGTTAATTCATAATTTCTTTCTAATGCTAATACTTTGAGTCCAACTAATGGAGTTAATATTGAACAAAATACACCTAAAATGAGATATTATTATTTTCTCATTATTCTACTGATTGATGCTTACTACTCGATTGTACCATCATAGTACCAATTATTCCTACTACAATAAATAAATATCCTAACAAATATCCTCTCCATCCTTTGTGTTGAATATGTAAAATTTTTTTTAATGCATCATCTATTACACCAATAATCATTGATCGTAATAGTTTAACCATTAAAAGTAAAATAAAAACAAGTAATAATAATGAACAAATAAATAATATTGTACCCGCTATATTATCGCCTGTTTTCTCAATTAAACTACGAAATAAATATTTACATTTAATACCTTGACCACACATTATTTTTCCAACTGTAATATTTGTATTATTTGATGTTATTGCATATTCATCTACTTGAATTATTGCTTGAGTTAATGGTTTTGTAATTGCTTTTAATAATTGAACATCGGTACCTTTTCGTACTTGTATTAATGAAGCAATAGCGCCAGATACACGAGCCAAATATCCACCGTCTAAAAGTTAAGACAAAAAGGATATGTGTGTATTCATCTACATTCATAAAGAAGTTGTTATTAACTTACGATGAAACATATCTATGTTGGGTGTTAATCGATCGATAATAACTTCTAACGGTAACAAAATTAATGTTGTTAAATAATTAAATACATCCATTAATATACCAGATGAGAAACTACGAGAAAATTCATCGCGACTCGCAACTTGACTGAATGAGACTAACGTATTCGTAATCGACGTACCTAAAAGAGCATTATTACTGATATCTTCTTAATAATAGAAAACTATATCAGAAATCGCACGTACAACATTACTAACCGATGTTTGCACCTAAAATTAGAAGAAAAAATACAACTATGTTATAATCTTATTGAATTAAACTTTATTACCCATAATCATTGGTATCACCACTCTTACATCGTTAATAACTCCACTTCCTACCATGGAAACAATAATTGATGTCACAGTACTTGAACTTTGTAATATTGTCGTAATAATCAAACTGAACATTACCGATGCTATCGGATTTTGTAATAAAAATTGACTTTTAAATGCTTTTCCAAATACTGATCGACTTAACAATGTAAATGAGGATGTCATTAGATCAAGTGTAACAATAAATATGTATAATGAAAGTAAAAACCCCAAAATACGAATAATAATAGCTGAAATGTAAACAAATTTTGCACGTTTTGACATTATTTTCCATGGTATACTTCCTGTTTGGGCATAACGATGAGCAACAAATATCATGTTTGTTTCATCTTCATTTATTTTATCTTTGATTTGTATTAGATTAGCATATAACTTTTGTGTCGCTAGATTAGGATTCGATGGCAATGACAAATAAATGCCACCGCCCGTACCACCATCACTTGTTCGATCTGGTACCTGTACACTTTTTCGAGCATCCGCTTTTTCACTATATTGTATAGTTTCGTTGTCAGAATCATAAATAACAACGTTATTATCATCATCCATTGGAGTATATGATATGTTGGTCAGTTCAAAACATTATCGTCGGAACCATTTTCTATGTGCGTAATTAAATCAGTACATACCACGTGGATGAGTCATATGATGCCGACGGAAGAAGCTGGCGCAAATATCGATTGAAACGAAAAAAACTAGCCTTACTATAGGTTAGTTTATCAATTGTACTTACAAAAAACTGATGAATAACTTCGACAATAGCTATACTTTCATCGATGAAATTGATTTTCTGTAAACAAAAATTCTACTGTTGTCTGTCTCTCTTTGTAGTCATTAGAAAATATTTTAGCGAAGTACAAAAGAGTGCATTGTTTCAAAACTCAAGGTTTATAACTTATAAAGCTGTAGCTCTAGTTTAGCAGGATCTACCGAGGAAGAAGTGGTCTGGCTCATGGTTCTGCCATCGCTTTTTAAGTAAGGTGCCCGCAATTCAAAAATACAGCACTATCTTAATTTTCGGTCGAAAGCTACATAGTCGGATAGCCTTAACTGAGCTGATTCCGAATATATCACCTTTTGATTCGAATTCGATCACATTTCGAGGAGAAATCCTCAAAATACTGAGAAGATATCAAAATTTTCAAAAATGCGTGCTTCTGAGAAAACAACCTGAACCTTTTTACCATTCCAGTTTCTGTTCTCTCCAATGTGATTTTTGAATTTTTCATATAAAATTGAGTCTAGAAATGTTGGTAAGTCATAGAACCTTCATTCTTACGTCATTCGAACCGGCATTTGATGGGCAACAGAAGTATACAACGCGTTTTATACGTCCAAAAATGAAAGTTGCCAAACCAACTTGAAAGGTACTTCATTCAACTCAGTTTTTCGTGCTGATTCCGAATATGATATTTTCGTTACATATAAATTAAGTCCTGATTGAGAAAATGGAGGATAACGGGCCGAATTCTGACATTTTCGCCTTATATTTAGAAAAAATTAATTTTCTCACCAACAAAAAGGAATTTCAAAAAACGCGATGCATACTTTTGTTGCCCACCAAATGGCGGTTCGAATGACGTAAGAATGAAGGTTCTATGGCTTACCAGAAAAAACTAGATAGGTTTGCAAAATTAGGTACTATTATCGCCAGAGGCACTGCATCATGGATTTTTTAGAATGAGCATGCAATATGCGATGAAGCTCTATACAACATTTCTAGACTCAATTTTATATGAGGAATCCAAAAATCACATTGGAGAGAACAGATACTAGAATGGTAAAAGGGTTCAGGTTGTTTTCTCAGAAGAAGGCGTTCTTTGGAGATTTTGATACCTTCTCAGTATTTTGAGGATTTCTCCCCGAAAACTTGATCGAATTCGAATCAAAAGGTGATATTCGGAATCAGCGTTCATCGTTTTTATTATTTTGATTTTTTATTTGATTTTATCAATGCAGACAGAATCGCTCTGATTGCAAAATTTGGTTTTACCTCTAATGTGTCTAGTTCCTCATTTGTCATCGGACTTCTATTTGAATGTTGAAACCAATGTAAAATCTGTTCTCGTTCGTAAGTAAATCCATCGGCTGCTACAACTGTAAAAACAGAAAAACAGCAACTAAAGGATATTCAACTGTTCATCTTATAAACAAATATTTCTTTTACCTGGATCACGTAGAATTTGTTTTGATATACAACAACTAATGCTTTCAGTTAAATCTTGCCTTGACATTTGTTGTGAACATTGTTTAATATGTTTTTCATACGATGCTTGTTCTTCATAAGTCATTTGTGAAATATCTTTCTGTACTGTACCCTCTATCTTCTTTTTATCATTTATTAGACTCATACTACTTGATGAATTCGATACGGCTGATGCTGTGGAGGATGTTGGACTGTATTATAAGTTTCCTGACGGAAAAGAATGTTGAGAATTATTTGGCGATATAAATAAACTGTGCTGAAAAATATGAGGATCATATCCATCACTTGAATTTTTGTTATATTTGTCCGATACTAGAAAAAGAAAATAAATGCAGCGCAATAGCGGTGCAACAAAGCTGCAGGCTAATCATCTCCTTTATATTTCAAGGCGCCTAGTAACAAGTGTATACGCGTGTTACGAAAAATAATTTTCAAATAGCTTTCAATTTATTTTTATAAATTATTTATTACCATTGCATATTGAATAAGCCAAGAAAATCCACCATTATGAACTGGGATAGAGGACATTATCTAGCAAACTTGTTATAGCAGGTACACAAACCGATAGTAACATACAGCAGCAAGTATGTTACTATCGGACAAATATAACAAAAATTCAAGTGATGGAACAAAAACTAAAACTAAAACGGTTGTAACGGAAAAGAACGCTCCAAAAGCAAACATAACATCACAGGTATGTGTATATTGTAGTGACGGTAGAAAATAAAATCAAACATATCATAAGTCAAAAGAAAGCAGTTGAATTAAAGTGATATTTTAATGGTAAAGTGCTAGCAGGATAGAACGTTTCCTCAAAATTATGATTTAAGAGACAATCCTTACTAATATCGAGCTAGCCAATAAAAAGTATAACCTGGTGAAAAACTGACATATCGTTTTTATTCGTGTATGGATAGAGTACTCAAAGTTACCTATAAATCCAAATTTTTAGACCTTGGAACGAGAAAATGGCTGAGATATAGAATTTCTCTAGAAAGTCCCCTAAACAAATTGTTAGAAATCACTGTTTTATTCTTATTCTTCCTCCGTTTTCTGCTCTAAAAGTTTGAATTATATATGAATTGAAAGCGCAAGAAAAGCTGAACAACTGCCATACTGTTTGACTTTTCAAGGTCAAGCTGGCTATAGAAAAACGTCGAATTAGTTAATAATTGGCAGCCAAAAATGAACAAAATGGTAGTTTCGGCGTTTTGATTATTTTCAGGGGAGTGACATCAGACATTTCGCATGCCAGTCGAATAGGTAAAACGTTTCTCTTCAAAATGACGCAAGAACGAGCCTGTTTCGTTTATTTTTGAGTGAGCACTGTTCATTTTACAAACAGCTGCAAAATGCACGTTGAAAACGCTAAAAAACAGTCACAGGGTTTTTACAAAAGGCATTACTGAAAACACAGAAATAACGACCGAAAATTCGCTTTTTAGCCATTCGATAGAGAATTCTAAGGGCTACATGTTGACCTGTTCGATGTGGGCACAGCGCATACATTCAAGCTTACACTGACGAAATACAGTTTTCGCGTTAAATTTTTGAAAGTTTTGGGGCATTCCGATGTCTGTTGAGTTGAGACGGAATCTCAAGTCTCAGGATCATCTCCTATATAGTATCTTGT